CTCCTCTTCCAACATATGGCTGCTGTCGGCCCCAGGCGCTGCTCAGCCGACGCCGGCTTGGGAGCGGGTGGGGGCTCCGGAGGCCCGAACCTCTCATCCCACCCGTCTGGCCACACTGCTCCCTCAGAGATCGGAAAGGCCCCTGCCTTAGCTCACATGCCTCCCGTGACAGGGAGATCACTCCTGCTGGACCTCTTCCCTGTGCCTCCAGGGAGTGTCCAGGAGCCCCCCTCCCCCTTCCCGGCAGCCCGAGGCACACAGCCACCCCATGCCCTACCCCCAGGGGACCAAGGATCTAACATGTCTGGGGACTGATCTGGGGGTGGGGGGTGTGTGGGGGGGTTTCCAGGAGAGGTAGCCCGCAGCTAGGGGCACAGGCAGGCTGGGGCTGCCGCCGGACCGTCCTCCACAGGCCCGGGGGAGCTGGAGCCAGAGGGCCTCTCCTGGGGACCCTGGGGCCAGAAGTTTCCTGGCTGGGCCAACTCCCTCAGGGTGGGCCCGCTCTGCTCCCCAATTCCTGGTCCCGTTTCCGTGGCTCCCTCATGGACTCTCCAAGAATTCCCCAGGCCTGGCACATGTCCCCTGTGGGCCACACTCTGCCCAGCCCTTGTTAAGCCTGCACTGCGGACCCCCGGACCCGCTCACAGCCCTGCCCACGTCGCATCCCTGGCTCTGCTGCTCCCCTCACAACCCCACCGTGAGCCTCCTGTGGCTCCCTAGTGCTTTTCGGGTCAGCAGCCACAGGCTAGCATCCGGGGCCCTCAGGTGTGACGCTGCCCCTTTTGGCCAAGCCCTGGGCCCACCCCTTTTAGCCAGGAGTCCCCGAGTTTCACCTCCAACGGGTGAGAAGGAAGAAGTACCAAGGATGATCCATGTTCTGGGATCAAGGGGCTCCTGCATGGTGCCACCCCTCTCAGGGACTCTGAACCCCTGCCTGGGGGCTCCAGCTCCTAGATCTGTGTTCCCAGCACAGGCTGGCCCGGCCCCTATACCTGTCCTGGGGAGGGCTGTGTGCCGACACTGAGAGAGTCAGACAGGCCCGCCGTGGGCACTGCTCCACTGCCCCCTGCCTGGCCCGGCCCCGCTGTCCGTCCTGACTGCTCGCCCCCCGCATGGAGGTACCAGCATTAATAGAGGTGACAGGCGGACAGCCGTGGGCCAGCCAGGCAGAGGAGGTTAATGGCCAAGATGAGGCTCTGGCAGGGATCAGATGGAGGGGTTGTGGGTCCCCACTGCACCCTATGCCAGCCCCAGCTGAGGACAAGGCTGCTCCCCAGGCCCCCACTGGTGCCAGAAGCACCCAGAGACCAAGCCTCCTGTCACCCGCTCTGCAAATGAAGGGAACACGACAGGTGTCTCAGAGCTCAGGGCCACATGGATGACCAAGCCCCAAAGCCACAGGGGTCCCTGCCACTGCCTCAGGGGGCAGGAGCTATCTCTGCAGGCCCAAGCTCTTCCCAGCACGCGTGGGGCGGGTCCCAGTGGGAGGTTTATGACCCACCCTCACTCCCCACTCCTGAGTGGAAAGTGTGACAAGCCACGGGCACGAGGTGTGCCGGCGACAAGGGAGCAGACGTGCCCCAGTGAGAACACCTTGGGCAGAGGGCACGGGGGTGCGAGGGGCTGGCATCAACATCCCTGCCTTGCCTGGCCGCAGGTGCTAGGGAAGGTCATATGTGCACCCGATGGGCCGGCTTGACTCACACTCCCACGCAGAGGTATTGGGTTGCAGCCACAGCTGGTCTCTAGGGACCACCCCTCCGCAGACCCCTCCTGGAAGCTCAGAAGTGCACAGGAATCATGCCCCTTAGGGCTGGGTTCCTCTGGAGGTGCCCCCACCCCTCCTCTTACTTCACCTTCTGGAGAAGCCCGTCCATAGCAGTGGCCTCCACGGCTGGTCCCCAGGCATATCTTCCTGGGCCTCCTTGGTCACCTGGGTGTCACTGGCTGCCCTCTCTGCATGCCGGGACGAGGGCTTCCTGATCCACGTCCTTCCTTCCCCAACCAGCCCATCCCCTGTGCTGGAGGCTGTAGCCTCTCCCAGACCCTCAGAGGGGTCAGCCAGTGAGGTGTGGGGAAGCACAGAACTGTCCCGGGAACAAGTGGCCAAGGCCTGGGACACCCCCCCCCCCCCCCCCC